CTCATGGTTCCACAGAGGCCTGTATATTCTAACCCCCTTGCCTAACACACACTGCATTGCCATTTTAGAAGTGCTTGCGAAGGTGTTCCCGAGGTACACCATTCTCCTCATTCCTGTATAGTCCTTGTAGGAGGCCAGGCACAGGCGGAGCCGTTTGTGAGATTTGTCTGCAGGGCTCTCGGACCCCACCCCCAGCAGTTCTTCGCCAAGTGGGCGATCCTGGAGGGAACCTGTTCTCAGCCAGAAGAGCGGGCAGCTAACAAGCCAGGAGAGCTTAGTCCTGCCCTCCCCTAGTGCAATGCCTATACCCAAGGCCATGAGGGATGAAACAGGTTTTTGCACGTTGTCACACTACTACTGATTAAAAGGATGTAGGCACAGTTATAATTAGTAAAACTAAAATCACTTACAAATATAACTGAACTCTGGCAGCTTTCTGTCACTACGTGTTTTTCTCAGCCAAAGGATTCTAATAGAATGCTGTCAGGTGAAGTTTTAAAAAGTTTTATTTTAAAAAGGGTTGAGAAGATTGGAAGTTGCGAATTTCTGCCTCCATCTACACCTGCAAGAGCAGAGGACCAGACCCAGAGAAGATCAGTGACTTTGGCTCAAGTAAGACTGTAGCTGTAGGGTAGGAACTGTATATGGGCCTTTATACCCAATGCACTTCTGGGCGGGCCTTGTGCACACCTGCTGCAGAGCCCCAAGGCAGGTTTGCACATGGCTGGCACTGTGAGACCCTGGAGACCCAGTGACCCCATCTGTGAAGTGAGGACACAGATCAAATGCACCTCTGAGGCTACTGGGGGCCTAATGCTTGGAAATCACTCCACAGGGTGTCCAACAGTCGGTGTTCAATGAAAGTGGCTGTTTTTGTACTGTCTAGGGAGGGCAGGGCACCTTGCCACGAAGCATCTCACCCTTGGCATCCATATAACCTTGGCAACTTCTTAAAAGTACAGATTTCCAGAGACCTCCCTCAGACATGCCGAGTCAGCAGGGCTGGGGAGGGGCTGGTTTATTTGCTCTGGTTTTTAAAGTTTCTCTGGTGTTCTGAGGCACAGGCAGACTTGGGGACCACCAGGCCACATGGCCTCCCAGAGAAGCCTCTGCCTGAGGCTCACACTGGCCTGGAGAGCTGCAGGGCCTGGGAGATGGAACCTGGCATCAGACTTGGAACTCCTGGACCCCCTGTGATGGCTCTGCAGAGGTGGGGAGATGACAGGAGACAGCCTGGCACCCCCCTAGGTTCTGGTGGGGCAGGCACCCTGTCTGCTGAGGGAGTCATCCCCGAAAGCCCTCTCCTGCCAGCCTGTGTAATTTCCGCAATCCCACTGGCTGGAGAGCCAGGAACTGGGGTTGCTGGCTAGGTGGGACTCTATGCAAACAACCCCTTCACAGGTGAAATCTCCTTCAAGGAAACACAAATTACAGAAATGCTTATCGTTGCCACCTTTATTAATAAGCTATTTAGTATTTCTTTCTCCTTACCCGGAAAGAAATTCAACTCTGAGGCAGGGAAAGGACAAAGATACCGGAAAATTTATCCACTTCCACTTGGAATCTGTGACTCTGGTAGGAGAAGCTGGGAGAAGGGGGAGGCTGGGAATTTGAGCTTTCCCAGTCAGGGACAGCGCTGCAAGGGGTGAGGCATTCCCAGCAGCAAAGGAAGAGGTGCCATCTCTAGAGTGGGCTGACCCCCAGAGCAGGAGAGCCCCCTCCCTCCAGGGCAGGACTTCACACAAGGTCGGGTCAGGTGTGGAGCTGTAGGTTCACGAAATGCTCAGAGCCCAGGACCAAGGGACCTCTTCTGAAGAGAAACCCTGGCCCTCATCACACTCCACCCTCTAATAGAATGCTGTCAGGTGAAGTTTTAAAAAGTTTTATTTTAAAAAGGGTTGAGAAGATTGGAAGTTGCGAATTTCTGCCTCCATCTACACCTGCAAGAGCAGAGGACCAGGCCCAGAGAAGATCAGTGACTTTGGCTCAAGTAAGACTGTAGCTGTAGGGTAGGAACTGTATATGGGCCTTTATACCCAATGCACTTCTGGGCGGGCCTTGTGCACACCTGCTGCAGAGCCCCAAGGCAGGTTTGCACATGGCTGGCACTGTGAGACCCTGGAGACCCAGTGACCCCATCTGTGAAGTGAGGACACAGATCAAATGCACCTCTGAGGCTACTGGGGGCCTAATGCTTGGAAATCACTCCACAGGGTGTCCAACAGTCGGTGTTCAATGAAAGTGGCTGTTTTTGTACTGTCTAGGGAGGGCAGGGCACCTTGCCACGAAGCATCTCACCCTTGGCATCCATATAACCTTGGCAACTTCTTAAAAGTACAGATTTCCAGAGACCTCCCTCAGACATGCCGAGTCAGCAGGGCTGGGGAGGGGCTGGTTTATTTGCTCTGGTTTTTAAAGTTTCTCTGGTGTTCTGAGGCACAGGCAGACTTGGGGACCACCAGGCCACATGGCCTCCCAGAGAAGCCTCTGCCTGAGGCTCACACTGGCCTGGAGAGCTGCAGGGCCTGGGAGATGGAACCTGGCATCAGACTTGGAACTCCTGGACCCCCTGTGATGGCTCTGCAGAGGTGGGGAGATGACAGGAGACAGCCTGGCACCCCCCTAGGTTCTGGTGGGGCAGGCACCCTGTCTGCTGAGGGAGTCATCCCCGAAAGCCCTCTCCTGCCAGCCTGTGTAATTTCCGCAATCCCACTGGCTGGAGAGCCAGGAACTGGGGTTGCTGGCTAGGTGGGACTCTATGCAAACAACCCCTTCACAGGTGAAATCTCCTTCAAGGAAACACAAATTACAGAAATGCTTATCGTTGCCACCTTTATTAATAAGCTATTTAGTATTTCTTTCTCCTTACCCGGAAAGAAATTCAACTCTGAGGCAGGGAAAGGACAAAGATACCGGAAAATTTATCCACTTCCACTTGGAATCTGTGACTCTGGTAGGAGAAGCTGGGAGAAGGGGGAGGCTGGGAATTTGAGCTTTCCCAGTCAGGGACAGCGCTGCAAGGGGTGAGGCATTCCCAGCAGCAAAGGAAGAGGTGCCATCTCTAGAGTGGGCTGACCCCCAGAGCAGGAGAGCCCCCTCCCTCCAGGGCAGGACTTCACACAAGGTCGGGTCAGGTGTGGAGCTGTAGGTTCACGAAATGCTCAGAGCCCAGGACCAAGGGACCTCTTCTGAAGAGAAACCCTGGCCCTCATCACACTCCACCCTCCACCCACCCTGGCATCCAGAGCGCTTGGCCCAAGGACACCTTCTCCGAGGTGGGTGATTCTCTTCCTGGGAGCACAGGACCAGGAGGGCCAAATACCCAGCATGGGGCTGGTGGGGGTGTCTGGCACAGCGCGCCCAGGCTTGGGCAACTGATGCTCAGTGTGGCTGGGCACCAGATTACACGAACCGCCTCTCCCCCTCCCCCTGAGGGGCCGTTATCACAGGCTAAAAAAACAATTGCCAACTGATCCTGGAGCCAGGAAGACTCCTGCTGGGTGAGGATTTCATTCACACTATTTCCCTTTAAGCCCCTAGAACTGCCCTGTCTCCCTGTGGCTCAGCTGCTAGTGCTGCTAACTCGGGTTCTCATGGGGGAGGGCACCAAGCTGTCAGGGGACAGGGGGCGACCCGGGTCAGGGAACAGGAGCCAAGCAGACCCTCCTAGGGCAAGTCTGATCTCTAGAAAACGATGCAGAGCCTCACGGCAGGGTGCTTCACTCTGCTGCGACAATATAAACAGCCACCTGGTATTGAGCACCTACTGTTTGTCCAGCACCCTGCAGAGTTATTTCCAAGCATTATGCCACCAGCAGCCCCAGAGGTGCATTTGATCTGTGTCCTCACTTCACAGATGGGGACACTGGGTCTCCAGGGCCTCACAATGCTGTGTGGAGTCCTGCCTCGGGGCTCTGCAGCAGGTGCACACAAGGCCAGCCCAGAAGTGCACTGGGTATTTGGACTGGGGCCTGCACCACCTACCCTCCAGCTACTGTCTTACTGTGGAGACCCACTCATTTTAATCTGTGCCTGGCATAGTGTTAGCGCTGGAGACCACCGCAGCGGCCCCTGTTCGGGTATTCACGGGGCTTCTCTGCCGGCTGGCCTCCCCAGTCCCGGCACCAACCCCAGACCTGGATGTTCACTCCCCATCCCCAGTGCGCCTCCAAGGAAGGATGAGCAGTGTTCCACACCCTCCCCAGGAATAGCCCCAGTATATTCCTTGATGACTGCTCAGAAGCTGTCCTTTTTAGCCTTCTTAGTTCTGTCAAAAGAGCTCAGTTTCTTCAACTTCATAGAAGTCTTTCCCAGCCCACATTTTGGAATAAGTCAAATTGTGGACCGAGAGAACTAGGATCGAAGGGGCCAAGGGAGCAGAGATCCTGGCAGTGGAAGCGGGGTAGGTGCCCCCCAGTGCAGGCATGCACCCCTCCCCGGGACTGGGAAGTCAGGGGGCTGCCACCGGCCCAGGGGGTGTAACCGAGGAGGCCTCCCCAGCTGATAGGACCAGGGATCAGAGGATTTAGAACCTAACGTAAAATTCCAACACGCTGATGAGGTGAGGAAAAGGGCATCCATTCCCCCTACTGCCCGGGCCCCTCGGAGGGCGGCACGAGGGGAACAGCCACACCCACGGGCGGAGACAGGTGAGCTGTCCAGGGAGTAAGGCCAACCCTAAGCCTGGACCATAGCTTTATGCCAGAGCGCAGGTTCCCTCAGACCCAGTAGCAATCTGAGCTATGGTGCTTGTTGAATTACAAAGGCTCTGGCAGGTAGTATCAGGAAAAACATGGTCCAGTGTACGGGCCAATGAACTGCAAAAGGGCATGAAGGGCAAGCCTGCAGGCCCATCAGCTGTGCCAGCCCCTTCCTCAGACACTTTCTGTTCTCATTCCACATATACATTCGCCTCTCTTGAGATGCAGTATTATTTCCTTCAATTGTGTAAGCTGCAGGCCTCAGACAACCTGGAGCTTCCCCCGCCCTGGGGAACTCACCGTGGTGTATAATCTTCCTTTACTGTTCATGGCAACGAAGAGGGCACTTTTCACTCCAAAGAGACTCACCACACCTCGCTCCACTGTGGAGATCTCCAGCAGGCCTGACAAAGAAACGGGAGGTCACGTTAGCTAAGGCTTGTGCAAATAAATCAGAGTGGGACGTCAACCTGAGGGGACCCTGCAAAGGCATCTGAGCCTGTCTCCTGCTCCTCTGACCCTTCTATCCTGGACCCCACTTCAGCAGATGCGGCTGCTAGACTGGGCACGTCATGCACTGTATCATCAAAAATCCAGTTCTGCAAGGGAGCTTTCTGACCTCAGAGTTAGCGATTGCAGCAGCCACTTAGGTATCTATTGTAAAAAAAATTTCAGTGATTTAATCACATGAGGTCCTTGCCTTGAGTAGAAAAATGAATTATGAGTAATTAAAAAATGTATATATATATATATATATATACACACACTCTACATGTTTTGACAAGTCTCTGCTCATCTAATCTTGCAAACATTGCAGCCGCACAGTGGCTGATGGCTTGCCTGCATCCTGCAGCCCTCATGCCCTCTTGGATGGCAGAGCCTATTTATGCAGCAACCCACCAGCTTGTAGGACAGGGGCCTGGAGACAGAGGGGGCAGGTTGGAATAAAAAGAAGAATGTGCTTCAGCTGGAGATTTTGCAAAGCACTTGCTTCTCCTTCTCTAAAAGGGAAGCTAAATAAAAATAAGTTTGTATCTAATTTGGTACAAGGACCCTCACTTGTTCTCCCCACCCTTGCCTGTGAATTCCCAGGCTAATGGGTCCCACTGGTCTTATATGGCCACAGATGGGCCTGTAATGCTGAAGCAGTTGGTGCCACAAGAGCTCTGCGGTGGCATGGCCAAGGACACCAGGATGCTTGGATCTCGGTGTATTGGGTCTGCACCCAGGCAGGGTCAAAGTGAGCATGGGGGAGGGGGCTTTGCTATGGGCATCCAAGGGGAGCACACCATGTCTTCCCCTTCACAATTTCTGGACCCTATGCACCAGAGCAAGTCCCCTTCATGTTTCAGCCCAAGTGCCCAGCTTCCCAGCTGGCTGCAGCTGCCACTCACTGTAGGGGTTCTCCTCGTGGGTCCCGCTGATCCGGCCGTCGGGAGGCACCTGGAGGTGAAAGCCAATGCCCACGTTGCAGTAGAGCCTCCGCTGCCGCTTGATTCCCACCAGATAGCCACTCTCCCAGCTCACCCCGGCCATCTCTCCAGTGAGCCCAGTGCGTGCCCTGGACAGCAGGGTGCCCCAGCCCCTCGAGTCCAGCAGTGTGCTGTTGGCGCGGCCGCCTGCAGGCGAGGGCACCACCATGCCCAGTAGGACGCCTAGGAAGATGAGGGCCCGCAGTGTGCCCTGAAGACATCCTGCCCCCCGGCACATAGTGATGAACAGCCTCTGTCCCAGGGCCATCCACCTTGCCTCTCAGGCACGTGGTCAGAATTAATGGCCCTAAAAATACCGCCCTTCTTGTTTTCCTCCCCTCGGCATGGCGGCAGGGGCTTATTTTTGGAAGGCAGATGAAGGCTGCTGACATGAAACCAAAGCCTGCTTCGGGTACTCCGGTTGGGAGCAGAGAGACCCAGGCTGAACCGAGGCCGGTAGGGACCATGGCTTGGGGACACCGTCTAGCTGGCCCACTTGCTCAGTCCCGAGTTGATTATATTTAATTTGACCTATCTTTATAGTTCAGTGGCCTGGCCCTCCCATCCAGCCATCATCACCCTGACGTCAGCCGACCCAGCTCACTTATCCCAGCTCACTTATCCCAGGCTGTAACATTAACCTGCTCCTGGGCCTGGCTGCCTCCCCAGACCCCTCATCACCCTCCCCATGCCCCAGGGATTCTGGGAGCCACTGTCATTTCAACTATGAGGCAGGAATGAAGTGAGCGAGGAGCATCTCGAAGGGTGGGAGGGGTTGGCTGGGGGCCCAGGGGAAGAGGGAGGTAAGAGGCCACCCTGGACCCAAATTGGGCAGAAGTTCTTGGCCTGGCAATGCTGGCTTCCTTATTTAGAGGGCAAAGGGTGAAGAGGGAGAGGGGAGGGCTTGGCAGTGCATGATGACCATGCCTATGAGTTACCCTAGAGACCTTTTCATGGAAAGAGCTCCTGGCTGAAGGCAAGAGAGGCTTGGGGGCACTGAAAGGCCAGACACTTGTGGCAGGAGGGGGCTCAGATCCAGGCAGCTGTTTTGTCCAAGGGGCTTTAGAATTTTGGAAGGAGGAGAGCTAGTGTCCCAGCCATGGCATTCACCTAGCCCGTGGGGTGGGAGTCATTTGGCCCTTGACGTAGCCTACTGGCCATTTTCCTTCCCACGCTCATCCTTGGCAACTGACAGATATTATTCCCATTTTACAGATGAGGAAGCAGAGGTGTGGAGAGCTTAGGTGATTTGCCTGTGTTACCATAGCTAACAAGTGGCAAAGCCAAAGCTTAAGAGTCAGCCAGAGTCCAGAGCCCGTGCTGGTAACCTCTGCATGCCTGCCTGCGGTAGATGTTAGATTTTCAGCCTGGCCTGCACTGATTTCCGGCTCGTATGCCAAGAGTACATCATAGAATTGTTTCAACAGCACAAATGATTCACCCATGAGCGCAGGCTGGGGGCAAAGCTCCTAGGAGTCCCTCTGCTTAGTGGCTCTCCTGAGACACCACTCCCTTTTCTCTGATTCCAAGCCGCCACCTCTGATCTGGGTCCCAGCCTCCAGTCTGTGGCTCCTACATGCCCATCTGCTTTGTCCACTGGGATTGGGGCTCTGGTTAGAATTATGTCAAGCCATGCATTTCAAGCCCTAGGTGCATTTTCTCAGATCCCTTGAAGCCCAGATGTCTGCCATCAGCCTCCTCCGGTAGGATGAGTGGGGAGTTTCACCTCCCCATGGGCCCCAGCTTCCTCATCTTCCTTGAGCTCTCTGCCACCTCCATTGCCTCATGCCCAGCTTTAGTGTCCCCAGCACCACCATCTCCCACAACAAGGAAAACCCACCAGCCTGTGGGCATAGATGGAGTCTTCTGGAAATCTGTTCAAAGAAATAAGGAAATAAACATCTGTCTGCAGACTAGGGGAGTTATAAGTTATCCAAACATAAAACTGCCAAAAATAAAAAACACCCACTTTGGATTTCCAGCTTGATTTCATATATGTAAGCTTTCATGTATGTGAGAAGAGCAGAGACACTTTCTTAATGATGGTTCAGTTTGGAATCGTATATTACTTATGCCTGCTGAACTGACTGAGGGAAGAGGCATGTTGGATAGTAAGAAGTTAGTCTGAAATTAACACTTGCCTTGGATAATTGGAGAAGTGCTCACCAGAGAGGTCAGGAGCTCCGTGCAATTCTCGTGGGGACCCACCCACTTTGGAACCACTTTAGAGGAAAGATTAAACTCTAAGAAGGTCTATGCTATATATAAATAAAAACAGTCAGTCTCTTTAGATTGACCTTATCCCAGATTCTTCTCTGTGCAGAGATTGTTCTTGGTGTATGGGCTTTGGAATGGGGGGAGGGCAGGCATCTGGATTTGATCCCAACTCTGTTACTTATTAGCTGTGTGACCTTGTGAAAAATTTTGAACCTCTCTGAGCCTCAAGTTTCCATCTGCACAATGAGATTGTGACTTCCCAGGGTTGTTATAAGGATCGGCAGTAACACATGCAGAGCCCTGTGCAGAGCAGAGTCTAGCCCTACCACAGTCCCTTCTCTGAAACATGTTGGAAATCTCTTCTCCAATTAAAGGAGGGCAAACCCAAAGGAAGAGGACCCTTTCTCATCTCAAGGGGCGCGAGAGACGCTGGGCTTCCAGTTCTTAGCTGCCGGGCACCAGAGCATATGTAGTGATGGCTGTTAACATATGCAGAAGCAGGCAGCCCAGATTCCTAAAATATTCTGAAAACCAGTAATAGCCTTGGTATCGTCCCCTGTTAAATATAAAACTTAAGTAATTCGTTCTATTAAAAAGCCTAGGTCTTATTTTTATCGGGTGATGCGATGAGGCCCTGTTCTAAATGCGCCTCCGGGGCCTGTCTCTATAGCAACCCCACTGTGTTCATATATCCATATATTTTGCCTGAAGGCTAATTAAGTTGACAACTGCTAGGGCTTCTTGGTTTACCAGATTTGCACTTGACCCTTCTCTTGGGACTTAGGGACCCTATGGATGTGAAGTGATAAAGAAAAGAGTAACAGGTGGAAGAGGCCTCTTTGTGGACCCTTCTTTCAAATAGTTGCTCAGCAGCCTTTGGGCTTGTCAATCACTCTCTGTGAATGAGCTTAGAGTTAGCAGAGGTGAGTGGGCAAAATGTTAATGTCCAGCTCCTTTCATGCCAGGGTCCTTGTTTCTGAGACGAGCACCCTGCAGTATATATACATTGGCCAAATTTGGCATGTCACCTGCACAGGGGAGCCGCCTCTGTAGGTTGCCTTCTCTGACTCCTGTTTATTGCGTAATAAAGTGCAAGCAGCACAGGAGTGACCATTAGCAGAAACACATAAAGCTCATGCAGATAGTGAAAAGCAGTACTTAGACTTTTTCACACTTGCTTTTGAGAAAGTAACATTTGCCATTTTCTATAAGTAATTTGGAAAATGTAGAAAGGCATAAGATAGGAAATAAAATAACTGAGTTTAGCATCTTTATAGCTTTTGTCTCAGCCTTTCTTTGAGCCTTCTTGGCAGGGGTCTGGCCACCTCTCCCACCTCGTTGTTCACACAGGCACCTGCTCACCAGGCTGCCTGTGCCTGGGGTTTTGGGGTGGAGGCGGCCCAGGACACATGATGGTTGTGAGGTGGGCTTGTGCAGAGGGAAGAGACTAGGAAGAACCCCCACCCCAAACTGAGTAAACGGGCATGTAAGGCTCCTGAAACTTGCTACAAGTTGGGGGATTCAAGAGGAGAAGTTCCAACCCGAATAATAATCTCCAGGCTCTGCAGGGAGGAGTCAGATACTATCCTGTGAGCTAGTCTGTGGGGGAATCCATACTTGTACTTTCTTAGTGGAGCTCAACTTTCCCCAGGCCTCACCATGTAAGTGGGACCTCATCCTCATCAGCAGTCAACAGTCCACGTTCCCTATTTCTTGCCTCTACCAGCTCATGTGGAACTTCACGCCACTACAAACTGCCCCTGAGTTATTTCTGGAGTTCCAGAGCATGTCTCACTTGTGTTGGTGGACATGTGGCCACTCAGCCTGGGCCCAGTGCAGGGCATCCATGTGGACGAACCTGCCCACCAACCTCCCACGTCCTGCTGGGCAGCTGATGGGTGTGGCATTGCCCACATAGCTCAGGACCCGAAGCTCTCAAGGAGCGGAAGCTGCATTGTTCCTTTTCAAAGCAAGATGAGCATCTCGGGCCCTTCCCTCACAGTTACACCCATTAAAGGAACATCTGACCAGCGCTGCTTGTGCCCTGGTGATCTGCTCACTCGGATTTCATTTCCAGACTCCCACTTTGCAGAGGGCTCAATCTTTGTTATGGGTCAAGCTCATCAGGTCGGGTTCCTTTTCCTTCAGGATGGACTCTTTCTCAGGAGGCTCCTCAACCCCCAGGCGAACAGACTTCTGGGGCTCCAGGCCCCTAGCTGTCTAGATGTGTCTGAATCCTGACCTAAGTTCACACTGGAGTCCGTGCTCCCCTCCCTGAAGTCCCTGGAGACTGGGGACTTCTCCAGGCCACTCAGATTGTGGCCTGCTTGTCCAAGGATTTGCAGAGTCAGCTGGGAGGGGGCACGTCCCCATCTCCACCCCAGAACCAATCCTTTTGGGCTAAAGTGCTACATACCCCTCCTTTGCTCCGAACCCTCATCTCAGTGTGTCTCTCCCTGAGCCTTCCTAGCTGGCTCTCTGTCTTTCTTTGTGTCACTTACTCCTTCCCCCCTGCTTTCTCCCCTCCCCCCATTACTATTCCCCAGCTGCATGTACAAGCCTAGAGGGCTAGCCAACTGCCAAGGAGAAAACACCTCAGCCTTGGCAATTACCACTGCCGCGCATCTCAGGGGAATCTGCAAAGAGGCAGAGGAGTCAGATAACTTTCTGGACACTCAGAGCATAAGGGAGTTTGGCTCTGCTCAGAGATTTGTGGTTTCTCAGATTTGCCTTCCATGATCATCATCTAATAATACCTACTGCGTGCTGAGGAGGGCATGCGCACTGCCAGCCACCACGCAGAGTTATGTAAAAGACCCAGCCCTTAGTGGCAGGCTCCCCAGTGTGGCACCGCAGGCCCTTGCCGTCCTGACCTCTGCCTGCTCTCCAGCCGCATCCCTTGCCCCTCATTTTCTGGGAATTTTCGCTATAGCAACCCCATGGCCTGTTATTCTCAGCATACTTTCTGCTGCTTCTGCCCCCAGTCTTTGCTCTGTCCTCTCTTTGTCTGGTGCATTGCTTCCCATCTTTAAAGACTCAGCTTAAATGTCACCTCTGGAAGAAATCTCTGACGACCTTCCACGTGTCTCTCTGTTGAACTTGGTGCCTCCGGCTCTCCTGCCCGCCCCCGTTGTTGTCTCATTAATGTTTTGCATGTATCTCTATCACTTCACTGTCTGATAGTGAAATCTTTCAGGAAACAATGGTGTCTTATTCATCTCTGTGT